CGCGCATATTAATGGTTAGGACACCCTCTGCTTTCCCTCTGGCGTGTTTAGCTAACACGTGGCAGTTACATACTTGCAGTAACGTGTGCATACTTCATGCTAGAATCAGAACTAACTTTCAATCTACTACGTTCCTACAGACTTTACTATTGCTATCATATACCAAAACGGCAGCTGTTTGAAAACTGCGATTATTCTTCTGATGTGACAGGAATAAGCGCACTGATTTTGTTCAGGTTTACACCTTTCACAGGTGATAATGCGCAACTGTCATGAATTATGGGAGTCACGGCGAGTTGCAGTCCTCAAAGGCTCTCACATCAAGTAGCACTGCCGTACCTCGTCCATTTTCGTATGATCCCACAAGAAAACAAAACACCGCACTTGCTGTCTCTTCCCGCTACTCACAGGTCAAAGACACACTACCACCTTGCCATGTGACTGTTCTGAAAAGTAGTACACTGCTTTCTCATGGCAGTAAGCGCTTAAGATATATTTTTTTCCTCGCAATCCAACCCACCACCCCTAGAGTTCGAGTCTGCCTCTTTACTCTGTACCATCGCGTCCCTTGGGAATTGGATAAAGAGTCTCGACAGAATTTGGCCCTCTGTAATTGATCACTGTTGAAGACCATCGATGCGTTTCTAAAATTTACTTTCCAATTTATTTTAATTACTCTGCCGTTGCCGCATTAAATGATGACGGATTCAGTGAGGTCGATACAAGACTCCAATTGCCCATAAGAGTTGCTACCGTAATTTAAACTGATGGGCGACATGACTGAACTAAGACGAATATCATGTATCACCTTCGGATAACACATGTCGCGTATCGGACATGATAGGAGGCTGGGTATCATCGCAGCGCACGTGATTAAGATCAGCGTGACAAGTACCACTGGTTCATCGTTGTTGGATGGATAGCACGACACAGGCATGGTTATCACCAGTTCGTTAATCCTCCGTATAATCGATGGTGTTGCCCGGCCGTGGATCGTCAAATCATCTACATGCAGTTAGTAAACACGGATTGACTCGAAGCTTCTAAGAACATAAATAACTGAGCTGGACCGTCGTAGACTCTATTCATTTTATGGTGTAAAACAGAACAGTAGAAAAATAATTTATCCATCTGGCAGTTGTGGGTTTCATCTACGTGAAGATAAACGTCCAAGCGAATGATAGGTTGGAGCTTCACCGAAAAAGCCTCGCTCATTGAGGATGACTATGATTATTTTCAGTCCAATATTATTATAATCAAAGAAATTATTGGCCTTGCACAGCTTGTGAAGAAATTTGTCTTCTTTAAAATTTTTGGTTTTCTACAGAAGTTTCTTCGCAACATTTGTCGAATGAATGTTGTGACAGACATGGATAGGCGAAAAATATTTTCGACCACACAGTAGGCCATAAAAAGAGGTCGTGATTTGTTCAACAATGCTAAAAGATCCAGCGCAATATGTCTGACACCATTACGTCGTTTTGAAGTACGATGACAGACGCCCTTTACAGTAACAGCCTGCATGTATCCAAAGCACAGTTCAATCCTTGCACTGCGTCAACTCAATTAACTGTTGATAATTCCTGTATATGTTTGTTAACACAGTGGTGACTGAAGAATTCATCTCGAGTTATATCTTGATCACAGGGAGGGCCTAGGTTTGACTCTGCTGAAATATAACACCTAATGACTACAATCTATTTACCATTTGGAAATATGGGTTGCTGGTGAATCTTCACTACTTTCAGGTCTTCTTCGCCATTTCGTTTGCTCCTTTATGCACCGATACCCCTACTTCCGGTTATTACACAATCCACTGCCCAGGATGGGAAGAGTGGCATATCATCCTATGGCGTGTGATTGATATGAAGAACTCTTCTTGCATTATAGGCCTTGACCGGATACACTTTTGGGCATCTGGCGGCTTTAATGAAACAGTAGCAATCTGTCAAACATTCAGACGCGGATATTCAGTGTCCGGTGCTGAGGTAGTGAAATACGGCGAGGGTAAGTATGACATGAAAGAATCATATGCACTGGAACCAATTGCAATATTTGGATGTGCTGGGGCACCAAAGAATGACTGCAACGTTGCCTTGGAAATATCGAAGAGGAATAATCAACCAATACGCTTCGTCGGATACAACGAAAAAGGCTGGGTCGAGTTAGGACTTTACGATGACAACGAAGAAGTCTACAGAACGACGGCTGAGTATCTCATCGAACACTCCAAGAGACCGATATTCGTTACCGTGACGGACGACGGTGAAATACGTGTTACCATTTTCGATTCCGAAGAAGAGGCCATCCCAAACCGTACGAACACTGACTACGTATTTTGCAGATCTGACTTCTACAAAGCATGTGACTTGGAATGCTTGCCTCATAACGAAAGTTTTGACAATTGCGTTTATGAACGTGTGGAGGAGGAAGAAAGATCGTCTTATGGTTATTGTAATTCATCAATCCTCGGTAAACAATGCACATGCAGAACTTGCGATTTAACTGAATGGACGTCATGGGTCTACAATCAAACTTGCGGTTATGCTTCCAAGAAAAGGTTCAGACCACCAAACTATCAACCCGACCTTATTTGCGACCACTTCCAAAGATACGAGTGTTGCCGGGAAGCTGAACAGGAATACTTAGGAGTCTGTCCATGCTCCAGCAGAACTTGTATGAATGGTGGAACCTGCAAAGACCTCATAGGCTTCAACACAAGTCAGTGCCTCTGCGTTTTTGGATATACGGGTGAAGACTGCGAAGAAGGTAAGGGCTTTCATTAGTTAAGAACTGCAGCTATCTCTCATAAGGCTTGTGCAACCTTCACGATACAACTGAACGTTTAGAGTAGTCTAAGTGATCATAGACAACACTCTCGCTGTAATTTGACAAACAGCCCATATTTGTACTCTGATTTGCAATTCATGGGTACTGTTGCTGCTATATGTGGTCAAGAAATATTAAACCAC